AAAAAAAAAAAAAAAAAAAAAAAAAAAAAAAAAAAAAAAAAGGTACAGAAGCTATAATTAAACACCTTTTTCAATAAAAGCTTCAAGCCAAGGTGGCTTCCCTGGTGAATTCCAGTAGCACAAAAAATAACTTTCCCTCTCTTACAACTTTTTCTTCCCTCACCATAAGCTGACGATCTTGCCTCACATTTTAGATAATACGGCAGCTATCATAATAGTGGCTTCAATCTTCCTGCCCTCAATTGACCTGCAGGTGCACCCGTCTTCTTCACCTTTCTCAGTATTACAAACAGGAGGTGACCTCTCCACCTATTAAGGGTAAATCTGCCCTTTCCGTTCTAGATTTTATCTCCTTTAACCCCCATCAAACACTTTAGTCCTTCATCCTTGTCTTCCAACACCAATGACTCTCTCTTCATTAAGGCAATCCTAGCAGTACTCAAACATGTCACAGAAGCTCCCATCTCAAAAATAAAACAAGTGCTTTTTCTTGACTCCATTATTTCCTTTAGCCACTGCTCCAGTTATCTTTCCCTCTTCATAGGGGAAGAAAAATCCCTCTCTAAAAAGTTATCTAAAACTATCTCTTACATCTACTTTTCACTCACTCTTTTAAATATAAATAATAGCTGATGTATAAAAAATATGTAATTTTTTATGATATAAAAGTATACAAAATAATGCATGTGTGACTTGTTCATGGCGTCATAATCAAATGAATGCTTAAATGAACCAAAATCTATTTATTTCTTTCCATCTCCACTACCATCACCCTAATCAAAGTTACTATCATCTCCTGCATAGATTATTTTAACACCTGCTTTATGCCTCAAGTTCAATCTGTATAAACAGGGTTATTTTCTAAAAATTCTGCAGTAAAATCTCTCCATGCTTTGGAACTCACTTAGATCATCTACAAAGCCCTGCACAGGCCAGCTCCTACATCTCTAATCTTATTCTATACCAGTTTCCCCTTACTTTAGTCACAGCAGCTTCCTTTTGATTTCTGAAACACATGGCATTCTTTGCTGTATCAGATCCTTTGCATTGTTGTTCCCTAAACCTGGAATGCTTCTCTTTTCCTCTTCCCCTCACTGGCTGCTTCTTCTGACCCTTCAGGTCTCAGCTTAAATGTCAGCTCTTCAGGAGCTCCCCTGACCACCCTGTTTGAAGCAGGTGTCTTCATCCCACCCGTTACTCTTTCTTATCCTCTGACTTATCTCAAAGCTGGGAGGTATTACAACCACCGTTTAGTTTGTTTTTATTTATTTGCCAGTTATCTATTTCTCAAAATTTAATCTTCATGAAGGCAGGGACGTGGTCCATTTTATTCACTGCTGTAGCCCTAGTACCTAACCGAGTTTACAGCACATAGATGTATAATACTGATTAAATACATCAATACTATATTTTGATTATCAACTGATTCCTTGTTTGTATTCTCAATTAGTTAAGAACCTGGAGGAGAGATGGTGGGTTCCTCCAAAGTCTCTGCAGCCTTGCAGGTGAAGAAAACTAAATAATAAGTAAATAAGTTTGCCTTAAGAGAAATCAGTGGGAACCCTTATAAAAGCATTTTCAGGTAAATGAAGGAAGAAATGTCAGATAATGGTGAAACAAATGAGAAACATAAAGTTAACTGGAGAAGACAGACCTGAAAGGGATATTTTATGTATGTTCGAATGAAGAAGAAATAAAAGAATAATTATGAAAAGCATGTCTCCAGTAAAGCAGAGGAGGATGAGATGGTTCCCAAAAGTGGAGAACAGAGACAGAGGGTGAGAGAAGATGGGCGTGGGAGGGACAGGAAGAGAGATGGGGGTCTTTTCCTCTGAGACAGCTATGAACAAATGTATCTCCAAAATTATTTCAGATGTTCCACTGAGCACCCCCCCATGGTCTGTTACTGAAATAAATACCATCTTCTTGGTTCTGTTTAACTCACCAGGATAGGGAATTCTTGAAATTTCTCTCACCGTCACCCATGGTCCTTTCCCATTCTCCAAATGAGATATCATGTCTGGTTTGGAAACTGCAAGCCCTGTCCAGAGAAAAATAAATATAATTTGATTGGAGCCATGAGCAAGAACTACTGCCAAATTCAGTCTCAGTTCTTAATCTTCTGTGCAGAATGACCATTACAGGAAGTTTTAGAGCCACACTGTCCAATACAGTTGCCAACTATCACATATGGCTATTTAAATTTGAATTTAAATTAATTTAAATTAAGTAAAATCTAAAATTCAGTTCTTCAGATGAACTAGCCAAATCTCAAGGGCTAAAAAGCCACAAGTGACTAGTACCTGCCATATTGTACAGTGATGTTTTAGACAATTACAAAGACATCTCAAAGGGGCTCAACACCATGATTCTGGTTTGGTGGGATAATAGATCATGGGAATAATCTGAGTTTAGAAAGAAATTGAATACATTTGTTTCTTATTTCTAGAAGTACTGATAACTTCCATTTAAGGAAGTAACTAGAAAAAACTTTGGTCCCAAATCTGTGGGGTTGTCAACAATCTCCAAGATTCCAGTGAAATGCGTGTGTCTTAGTCTACAAAGGGCAGATCATGTAGTTAAGAGTGAGGAAGAGCATAACCCAACAATGTGCCCCTAAGATCTAGTACTTCAGTTAAATACCTCAGAGGTCTTTTCTCTTTGGCAAACCTGGTTAAATAGGCAGATCAATCAACATAGAAGAGAAGTTATCCTTACCCACAAAGACCAGATTCCTGTAATTCTCCAGCATTACATCCTTATGCAGGTTCCTCTGTGTAGGGTCCATCAACCTCCACTCCTCCAATGTGAAGTCTATAGCCACATCCTTAAATGTCACTGATTCCTAAAACAATTACATTGTGATCAATCAGAGACTATATAATTAGACTTGTTAGGCAGAATTACACATTAAAAAAACTGGGGAAGAGCCCAAGAAACCAGAATCACCAAATGATTATGTAGGTCAACCAGTTCATCCTTTATAGAATGTATAAACCTCTCCAGTGACAAGAACTTGAAACCATAAGATGCTGCCTATATCATCTTCAGGGCTTCATCTGATAGCAGGATTTCTTTTTAGACCAAGTCTGGATTCCTATAAATGATAAATATTGTCTCTACTAGAGTATCTGGAGGCAAATAACATGGTTTCCTCCTTCCCTAGGAAGTATTTAAAATATTTAGTAACAGCCAACAGTTTGCACCCAAATCATCTTTCTTCCTTACAACCCTGGCTTATTTAAAATATCAATTTTCTTTCAGTTCTAATCGATAGACTATGGCTTACTAAAAGATATATTTTATCATTTGTATTGTGAATATAGAATACTATAAGCTTTCTTTTTGAAAAATAAAAATAAATCAAGGAACTTTGGGGAAGTTCTTTGGTCAGGATATGAATATGTATTAAAAAATGGAAGAATAGGCCATAAACATTTTTAATGGTTACCTACTGGGAAAAAGAGGGAGTAGAGAGAACTGGAATGAAGGCTAGACTCCTTTGAATATTTGTTTTGTAGATTTGACTTTTGAACCATGTAAAAACTTTATATTATAAATGAAATAAAAACTTTAAAAAACCAATCCCTAAATAATTAAGAGTAACATGAAACCAGGTGGCAGCATACCCATTCATTAGAGAGGAACTATTCTGAGTGACTTTAACAGTAACTTTTCGGTAAATTCACAAGATATACCCTGAGAAAAATAACTGCAAAATAAAAACAAACCCCAAATGTTTCAGTAAATAATCATATTAATTACAGTGACAGACATGCTATTATGTAACTGTTGTGTGTGTAGTGCTGGATAAAACAAATTAGCATACTGATGTCATTGAGAACTAATACATTTGACATGGGATAAAGAAGACAGAAATGCAGGCTGGTAGCCCCAGCTACAGGGGAGGCTGAAGCAACAGAAATGCTTGAAACTGGGAGGTGGAGGTTGCAGTGAGTCAAAACCATACCACTGCACTCCAGCCTGGGTGACAAAGTGAGACTGCATCTCAAAAAACAAACAAACCAACCAACCTTAAATCCCATATGCAACAGTATTAAACGATGAGGCCTTTGGGAGGTGATTAAATCATGAGGAACCCTCAAGAATGGGATAAGCAACTTTATAAAAGGGCTGGAGGGAATTAACTAGGCTCTTTAGTTCTTCTGCCTTCCACCACGTAAGACAAAACATTCCCTGCAGAGAAAGCAGCATTCACGGCACCATCTTGAAAGCAGAGACCAGGCCTTTACCAGACACTGAACCTGTCGGCACCCTGATGATCTTGGGCTTCTTACCCTCTTGAACGATAAGAAAATAAATTTCTGTTCTTTATAAATTAAAAAAAAAAAAAATGCAGGCTGGGTGCAGTGGCTCACGCCTGTAATCCCAGCACTTTGGGAGGCTGAGGTGGGTGGATCATGAGGTCAGGAGTTCACGACCAGACTGGCCAACACGGTGAAACCCCTTCTCTACTACAAAATACAAAAATTAGCTGAGCATGGTGGCTCGTGCCTGTAATCCCATCTACTTGGGAGGCTGAGGTAGGAAAATTGCTTGAACTGGGACCAGGGAGGTAGAAGTTGTAGTGAGCCGAGATCGCACCACTGCAATCCAGCCTGGGCAACAGACCAAGACTCTGTCTTAAAAAAAAAAAAAAAAAAGAATAATCACCAGCTGCTAACATAAGAGAAAGTCCTCAGTTGATAGTACATATCTTCTGGTGTTATATACCAGCAATATGAAATGACATCATTGCTGAAAATATTTTAAAGAATCAAAATCTCAGCCAGGTGCAGTGGCTTATGCCTTTAATTCCAGCACTTTGGGAGGCCAAGACAGGGCGGTCATTTGAGCTCAGGAGTTCAATACCAGCCTAGGCAACATAGAGAGACACCCTCTCTACGAAAAATAAAATAAAGTTAGCTGGCTGCGGTGGTGCATGCCTGTGGTCCCAGCTACTTGAGAGGCTGATGTGGGAGGATCCCTTGAGCCCAGGAGGTTGACAAAGTGAGATCCTACTTAAAAAACAAAAACAAACAAACAAATCTATGAATCTGATCAAGGATCTAACTAACAATTTAAAGGCAATATGTACAGGGGCAGAAGGGCATGTTAAATAATTCCATGGGGATGTAATCAGTAAAATCCATATTGTGTGAAATTCTAAATTAATGATGCCCAATAAAAATATAATGCAAGCCATATAAGTGATTTTATATTTGTTAGAAGCCACATTAAAAACAAAAAGAAACAAGTAAAATTAGTTTTAATAATGTTTATTTAATCCAAATAGATAAAATGTTATCATTTCAACATTCATCAATATAAAAATTATTAGTGAGATAATTTACATTATCTTATCATGCTGTCTTTGAAGTCTGGTGTGTATTTTAAATATACAGCCCATCTCAATTCAGACTAATCACATTTCAGGTGGTCAGTTGTCACATGTGGCTAGTGGCTTCTGTATTGGACAACATAGCTCTAGAGTACCAATAACTTGATTTCTTTAATAAACAGTTACAAAGTGGTAAAGGAAAGAGGGGGAAACTTCTATATTAAAAGTAACCTAAGAGATATATTAACCAATTATACCATATGAATCAACTTGGAAAACATATACCAAATGAGTATTTGATAAAACAAAGCCTCAGTGTTAATTTTTTTACCTGTATTAATAGTAATATCGTATAGTACTAAGAATTTTTAAAACAGTCAATTAGAGATATATAATAAAATACAGATTAAATAATATAATGTTTGTATTTGTATTGAGATAATTAGTGAGGGAAGGATTACAGATGAAATGTGATTGTTCATGGGCTGATAACTGTTTAATAGGGTTAAGGGATTCAAACTACTCTCCCCACTTCTGTGAGAATAATGCTTATTATGTGTTAGAGACTGCTCTAAGGGCTTATAATGTACTGAATGAATCATCACAATCAGGAAGGTGCTATTTACAAATAAGAAAAGTGAGACACAGAGATGTTAGGTGTCTTGCCCAAGGTCAAAGAAGTAGAAGAGTCCAGATTCAAATCTAAGCAGTTTGTATTGAGAATCCCTGCTTGTAACCTTATAATCATTCTGATCCATGATCTGGTAAACTAAGAGCCCTGATTAGCTGACTACTCAGGCAAATAAATCAACTTAGATCACATCTGGCTAAGGTCTGTTCTAGATCAGAAGAAAGATTTCCTCTGGGGTGTTTTTCTACCACTTAGATTATGCTTGTCATACATATCTTACGCATACATATTCCTCTGTAGTTTCAAACCTCTAAGTTTCTGAAGCATGTTTTAGATAATTCTGCTAACAATAATATGGCAAATGTAGGAGATGATGAGTTCATAAACTTTATTGGTAATCACTTGACATGTGTGTAATTCAAACTGTAACCAATGCACTGGGTTTTGTTTTCTTTTTCCACTAAGAACTCAGCCCCAGGAAAAGCCTGAGAAGACCGTCATCTATGGCTTACATTGAGGCTCTGTACAAGCAAGAAGTGACTAAGGCATAGTTGCAACCTGCCTGCCAAAGAGAAAAACATATGCCCACACATACAAAGAACCTTTTGGCAGTCGCTGAAGACTTAATGGTTTAAGGCATAAAGAAGTCTGTCTATTTTCCGCACATGGCCAGCCAGTTATCCCAACACCATTTATTAACAGGGAATCCTTTCCCCATTGCTTGCTTTTGTGAGGTTTGTCAAAGATCAGATGGTTGTAGATATGTGGCACTGCCTCTAAGGCCTCTGTTCTGTTCCATTGGTCTCTATCTCTGTTTTGGTATCAGTACCATGCTGTTTTGATTGCTGTGGCCTTGTAGTATAGTTTGAAGTCAGGTAGCGTGATGCCTCCAGCTTTGTTCTTTTTGCTTAGGATTGTCTTGGCTATGCAGGCTCTCTTTTGGTTCCATATGAAGTTTAAGGTGGTTTTCTCCAGTTCTGTGAAGACGGTCATAGGTAGGTTGATGGGGATAGCACTGAATGTATAAATTACTTTGGGCAGTATCAAACTGGACCACTTCCTGACACCTTACACTAAAATTAACTCCAGATGGATTAAAGACTTAAACATAAGACCTAACACCATAAAAACCCTAGAAGAAAACCTAGGCAAAACCATTCAGGACATAGGCATAGGCAAGGACATCATGGCTAAAACACCAAAAGCACTGGCAACAAAAGCCAAAATAGACAAATGGGACCTAATTAAACTCCAGAACTTCTGTACAGCAAAAGAAACAATCATTAGAGTGAACTGGCAACCAACAGAATGGGAAAAATTTTTGCAATCTACCTATCTGACAAAGGGCTAATATCCAGAATCTACAAAGAACTAAAACAGATTTACAAGAAAATAAAGCAAACCCAACCAAAAGTGGGCAAAGGATATGAACAGATACTTTTCAAAAGAACACATATATGATACATGAGGCCAACAAACATATGAAAACATGCTCATCATCACCGGGTATTAGAGAAATGCAAATCAAAACTACATTGTGATACCACCTCATGCCAGTTAGAATGGCGATCATTAAAATATCTGGAGATAACAGATGCTGGAAAGGATGTGGAGAAATACGAACACTTTTACACTGTTGGTAGGAGTGTAAATTAGTCCAACCATTGTGGAAGACAGTGTGGCACTTCCTCAAGGACCTAGAAATAGAAATTCCATTTGACCCAGGAATCCCATTACTAGGTATATACCCAAAGGATTATAAATCATTCTATTACAAAGACACATGCACACGTGTTCATTGTGGCACTGTTTACAATAGCAAAGACCTGCAACCAACCCAAATTGCCCATCGATGATAGACTGAACAAGAAAA